TTTCTTCACTCTCTTTTCCTTACTTCTACTGCACTTAGCCTCTTTTCCTTTACTCCGATGCTAGTGACTTACAATAACTCAGAATATACCTTGAAAGGCCCTAGATTGTGGATAGAAGTAAGGCATATTTTCTAAAACTAAAGGCTGTTCTCAACTTGTAAACCTTGAGTTAGCTGTGATCAGAAGAAAGAAAGAGGAAAACCATATTTCTTGCTTCAGTGTTTTGGAAGGTGCTATGCTTTCTGAAAGGAACTCCCTTCCCAACCTCATCTGTCTGGCCTGTTTCTATTCCTCCTACAACTCTTCCTAAAATGTCACCACCTCTTAGAAGCCTCCCCTGACCCTGGTTGAATTAGGTGTCCCTTCCATCTGCCTTGTGGATGCACTTACACTGTTTTAATCACCAGTGTTCTTGAATGTCTAACCCATCAGATAGGGAATCTCTTGCCTATAGCTTTGGTTGGGTTTGTCTCTGAATTCCCAACAGCCAGCACATGGTAGAGACTCAATACATAATTTAAAAGGGAAGAGGGACACCTGGGTGGTTCAGTTGGTTGGGCTTTCAACCTCAGCTCAGGTCATGATCTCACAATTCATGGGTTCGAGCCCCATGTAGGGCTCTGCGCTGACAGCTCAGAGCCTGGAGCTTGCTTCAGATTCTGTGTCTCCCTTTCTCTCTGCCCCTCTCTGCTTGTGTTCTGTCTCTGTCAAAAATGAATAAATTCTCAAAAAAAATTTTTTAAGTACTTGAAAAGGGAAGAAATGTAAGAAGAATAGGAAGCAGTATTGGGGAGAAAGGAAGTAAAAGAGAAAAATGGGGAGGGTAAGGGAAAGAAGAGAAGAGAGAAAAGGAGATGAGAGGAAGATAAAAATATTTTGAAACTCCAATAATCCAACCAATTCAAAGGATATTTCCAGGAAAAATACTCACTGACATGAGTGAGATTTATCTACCTAAATCTCTTCTATGTCAGTGATGTTGTGAAGTTAAGGACTTATGATCTACCAAGGCTGTAATTTGATAAAAAAGGATGATTTGAACGAATGTGAATTAAATCACTTTAAAAAATAATTTTGTATTCATAAAAAGAAGTAAAAGACTATAGGCCAAATACACAGTACGTGGGTATTAGATTAGATGCTAGGAAAAATGCCCCGGTCGGGGAGATACAAACATGCTAGAAAATATCATGAAGGGAGATTTTCAACTCTATGTAGAGCATTTATAGAAAAGCCAAAAGAAAAAAAAAAGACACACAAATACATATGATATGATATGTGGAGATAAGTAATTCTAGAGGTGGTTTGAAGGCAGGTTTATCCTTGCGTTTTATTTCTCAGGCAAAATTATTTCTTTGATGACCTTTTGTTCCCTGAGCTCAAATGATTACGATTATGACCTATGACTAAAATTATTAATTCATCCTTTCAAACAAATTTTAAAAATTGAAGACCCATAAATACCATTCACTGAAAGCCCTAATTTTTCAAAATCAGTACTAAATAAAGTTTGAAAACATGATATTCCACATTTAGCAACTACAAAACAGCTTAAAAGAACGTGTTCTTCAGAATGAAAACTTGGACAACATCATCAAGTCATAGCAGAAACACTCCTGTTGTTATTTTAGTCTTTTCTCTGTGGCTACATCCCTGGCCTCATCTACTGGATGAACCAAATGAAGTGCTTGGGTTACCAGGGGGTCAGGCCTGCATATTCTTAGTAAAATAATACTCAAAGAAGGAGAAAAGGACAAATTAAGAGGGATCTCTCATGCTAGGGACTCATATCTTTCATGGTGGAGGCACCTGGGTGGCTCAGTCAGTTGAGCCGACTTCAGCTCAGGTCATGATCTCAGGGTTTGTTAGTTAAAGCCCTGTTCTGTGCTGATAGTGTGCAGACTGCTTGGGATTCTCTCTCTATACTCTCTCTCTCTCTCTCTCTCTCTGCCCCTCCCTTGCTCATGCTCTCTTTCTATCAAAAATAAATAAACATTAAAAAAATTAGTATCTTTCATGGTGAAGATATTTCAATGCTCTTAAAAAGGACGCCTTCTCTGGTGTCAGTGTCAGTCAGCATCTGCCCTTGCCTCCAGTGAAACCTTTTTCTGGTCCAATTGTCTTGCCCAACTTTAGAGAGCTCTGCACAACCTCACATATAAAGACAGCAAATGCAAGCCCCAATTTTCCCATCTTTGACTTTAAAGAACATTGAATTACCACAGAGTCATCAAGGAGCATAATTTCTAAGCAAATGATTCTTAGTGGAGGAGGGAAACTCTCAATACACTATGTTGAAACAATTATTCACAGCATATCCCAGATTTTTTTTTTTTTTTTTTTTTGGCTGGGTCCATCATTATGAAGGTTTTGCCCATTCACATGTAAACTGTAAACACACTGACAGATGGAATTCTTTTGTATAAACAATTTCAGATACACTATTCCTCTGTGGCTGTGTCAGTTGTTTACAGTATCAAAAAGCCACAGATAGGCCTAAAAGTAAGGGAAGTCCATATTTCTGCCAAGCATTTGCATAACATCTATCCATAGTTTGTACCCGGGCGCTCAAAGTGTCGCTGATGAGACGTACTTCCTCAAGTGTATTTATGAATATTGTGTCAGCAAGTCTCCCCAGGAATTTTCTCAGAGCATCCCTCTTCCAAAGTCACCCCTGTCTTTGTGAAGGGGCCACAGAGACGGAAGCTACCAATCTAGATGTAAATCTAGCTGGAAACAGACCCAGGAGAAGCACGTGCCAATGTAGGAGCGGAAAGGGCTCCCCTCCTTGCTTCACATGTTTATTCTCTCCCGTTCTGTGTCACTTTCTCCAAAGCAAAGGATTTGTTTCTCTTCTTTCTCAAAACCCAATTTCAAAAGTCTTGGGGAGCTTATTTTGCAAACATCCATTTTAGACTTCTCTCCCTCATCCCCTTCAGCCATTAAGCACCTTAATTCTTAATTCCATGTACTTCCTCCAAGGCAATCCTCTTGCCCGACTATTTGAGCTATTTGGAATCTCTTTTTCATTTTTTTCCCCCCTGTCCCCAAAGTTCTACCCCAAAGTCCAGCTTTTCTGAGAAAAAAGTTTGGTTTCACAAACTGTGCCTAATGGACTCCAAATCAGTAGAATTGAGACAGTCTGTCCTGATCTGCCTTATGTGCAAACACTGTTTCGTTTTGTTTTGTTTTTCCACAGAGTGAAGTTTACTCCTGACAAAGTTCCCCTCCTCCCTCCCCAGCCCAGGACAGGTCAGACAGCTTAGGGTGAAAATGGGGGTGAGGGGGTTCTGAGAAACAGGGAAGGGACCTGGCCCCCAGGCCATGCCATATCTGGCTCCCCCAGCCTGGCTTAAGTGAGATGTGATTCAATGCAATTCATTTCTTTAAAGTACACAGTCCAATGGTCTTTAGTATATTCATTGAGATGTACAACTATCACCACAATCTATTTTAAAACATTATCATTACCCCAAAAAGAGACTTTGTAACTATTAACAGTCATTCCCCAGTTCCCACCCCACCCCCACCAACTGCCCCAGTCTTAAGCAACCGCTAATCTACCTTCTGTCTCTATTTATAGATTTTGATATCCTGGACATTTATATAAGTGGAATTATACACTGTGTGGTCTTTTGTGACTCATTTCTCTCATTTAGCTTGTTTTCAAGGATTATTCATGTTATAGCATGTGTCAGAATTTTCTCTTTTTATTGCCAAGTAATTCCACATTGTATGGAGAGATCATTTTATTTATCCATTTATCAGTTGATTGAACATTTGGGTTGTTTCCACTTTTAACTATTTTGAATAATACTACTATGAACATTCATGTACAGGTATTTGTGGACATATTCATTCATTTCTCTTGTGTATATGGCTAGGAGAATTACTGGGCAATATAGTGACTCTATGATTAATCTCTTGAGGAACTGCCAAACTGTTTTCCAAAGTGGCCACACCATTTCGTATCCGCACTAGCGATATATGAAAGCTCCAATTTCTCTACATCTTTGGCAATCTGCTATTATCTGTGTTTGCATTAGAGCCATCCTAGTGGGTATGAAGGGATATCTTACTGTGGTTATGATTTGCATTTCCCTTATGTCATGAGCATCTTTTCATGTGTTTATCTGCCATTTGTGTATCAAGGTATTTGGAGAAATACCTTGAAAATCCTTTTCCCGTTTTTGAATTATCTTTTTATTAATGAATTGTAAGAGTTATTCATGTATTCTGCATATGACTTGCAAATATTGTCTTATAATCCATGTGTTGTCTTTTCACTTTCTTTATAGTATCATTTGCAGCATGAAAGTTTTTAATTTTGATTGAAGTCAAATTCATCTATCTTTTTCCTTTATCACTTGTACTTTTAGTGCCAGATCTAAGAAGGCCCTGCCCAAGCCAATATTTATTGTGGATATTTATTCTTGTGTTTTCATCTAACATTTTTATAGATTTCTGTCTTACATTTAGGTCTGTGATCCATTTTGAGTTAATTTTGGAGAATGGTGTAAGAGGGATCCAGCTTTACTTTTTTGCATGTGAATATCCAGTTGCTCTAGAATACTTTGTTGAAAAGATCATTTCTTCCATTGAATAGTCTTAGTACCCTTGTCAAAAATCATAAATATGAAGGTTTAGTTCCGGATTCTCAGTTCAATTCCCTTGATCTATGTATCTATCCTATGTGAGTACCACATTGCCTTGATTATTGTTGTTTTGTAATAAGCAAATCAATGAGTCCTCCAACTTTGTTTTAGTCATTCTGGGTCTTGCATATTTCTATATGGATTTTAGGATCTGTATATCAATTTCTGCAAAAGAAGTTAGCTGAAATTTTGATAGGGGATTGAGTTGATCTGTACATCAATTTGGGGAGTATTTCCATCTTAATAATATTAAATCTTCCAATCTATGAACATGGGATGTCTTTCCATTTATTTAGGTCTTCTTTGAATTCTTTCAACAATGCTTCACATTTATTAAAATAAAAGTTTTGTACTTTTGTTAAATTTCTACCTAAGCATTTTATTCTTTTTGATCCTATTATAAATGGAGTTTTTCCTAATATTTTCAGAATGATCATTTGCCAATATATTGAAATTCAACTGATTTTTGAATAGTGATCTTGTATCTTACAACCTTGTTGAGTTTACTTATTAATTCTATTTTTTTCTTCTTGATTCCTTAGCATTTTCTGTATACAAGATTGCCATTACTTACAAATAGAAATAATTTTTCTTCTTTCTTTTCAATTTGGATGCCTTTTACTTATTTCCTTTTTAAGTTGTTTTTGCTAGATCTCCCAGTACAATTCTGAATAGAAGTGGCAAGAGCAGATAGTCTTTCATCATTAAACATGATGTTACCTGTAGGTAGGCTCTTCGTGGATGCTCTTTATGAAGTTAAGATTGTCCCTTTCTACTCTTAGTTTGTTATGTGCTTTTATCATGAAAGAATGTGAGATTTTGTCAAATGCTTTTCTGCCTCAATTTATATAATCAAGTGAATTTTTTCCTTTATTCTAATGATACATTACATTGATGAATTTTTGGAGGTTAAACCAGCCTTGCATCTCTGGGATAAATCCCAACTGGTCATGGTATATAATACTTTTACAAAAGCCTTTTGAAATATTTTATTTTAAGTTTCTTATTTATCTTGAGAGAGAGAGCAAGCGAGAGAGAGAGACCATGAGCAGAGGAGGGACACAGACAGAGAGAATCCCAAGCAGGGTCCAATGCCTAACCAACTGAGCCACCCAGGCACCCAGAAATATTTTACTTTTAAGGTAAAGAAGGGAAGAGTATTGAATATGCCACCCCTAGAATTCATTGTTTGTGTGTAATGCAGGCTGGATGAGTAATCTTAATGTGACAAAAATTCCAAGTAGCAAACTCAGTAAACAAAGCAGCCTCATAGCAACAAGTAAATAATTCCCACAGGTCCCTCATAACTGAATCATTGGGAAAACTCTGGCACTGGTGGGTAAATAATTTGTGAATATCAGTCTAATTTCAAGCTGTGTATACACAAATGATATATTGCAAATAAGAAGAATTAAGATGGGAGACTGGTGAGTGTAAAGAAGGAAAAACACAAATGCCCAAAGAATAAAGCCACTTAAAAAATAATAAAAACTGATGCTTCTGAGTGACTTGCAAGACTGTAGGGACTTAAAGTTATATCTATCACACATTAATGTAGAAAAAATACACGTAAAACATATGGAAACTAAGGCTCAAAGAAGTTGGATGAATCTACCAAGATCAGATCATTTGACTCCCAGTCCACTTTCCCTTATACAAGGTCACCTTCCCTTAACAGTGATGGTCAAATGTGTCTGGCCAGAACTTCATAGTTTTCAAGTCACTGTTACATACATCATCCTGCTTTATCCAGTGTCCTTTGCTCAATGCCACCTGCCTCATATGTCAGTTATGGGTAGATGCTGAGTGAGCCCTCACCTCTTCGGTAACGACAGTGGCAGAATTTGTCTCAAAATTTTTAATAATTGTGTTCTATAGTTTAAATATAAGTCAGGGTAATAGAAATTTAATTTAAAATACGTGATTCACTGCCCTAATATGGAAGTAAATATAGAGGGATGACCTATTAAGCAATGATCTACATAAATCTGGGTTGCTTATGGGTAGAAAGAACAATATAGTGAATAGAAACCAGTGTTTTTATTTTATTTGAAATATTTATTTTTAAGTTTTTAAGTTTAATTTATTTTCGAGAGAGACAGAGACAGAGCACAAGTGGGGGAAGGACAGAGAAAGAGGGAGACACAGAATCTGAAGCAGGCTCCAGGCTCTGAGCTGTCAACACAGAGCCCAATGTGGGACTCAAAGCCACAAACCATGAGATCATGACCTGAACTGAAGCCAGACGCTTAACCAACTGAGCCGCCCAGGTACCCCAGAAACCAGTGTTTTTAATTTGCTGCTGAGTATCTAAATGTAATCAGACATTCATATTGACCTAAAACACAAAGATAAAATTTACTAGTTTGCAGTAGTAACTAGGAAAAGCCACATTTTTTTGACATCTTGAAAAAAAAGTTTGGATAAACTAATTCAGTATAGAATGAAATTCATCCATATCTACCAGAAAGAAATTGTACTAGGTTACTGCAACTAATAGCCTAGTAAAATGGAGATTTTCTCTTTAGGCTCGATTATGGGAGCTATACTACAAGGATATTATATGATGGGAATGCTGTCTTTTTACTAGTAGTACAGTGCAGAGAAGAGTGTGAAGTTGGAAAACTGTCATCTCAGATCCTTTGGAGAAAGATTATGGGTGAATGGATGGATTAAAAAGTGAATGGGCTGTTATCAAAAGACCCGGAAATTTGGCTAAACTGGATATCTTTAGGCAGGTGAATTTATTGGCAGGCTTTCATTTCTTACCTAACAAATGGAAATAACCATATCTGCCATTCCTCACAGCAATTTGAATTTGAAATGAGATAATGCTTTAAGTAATTTCATGACTACAAAATAGCAAGTAGATACAAAGTAGTATTGTTAGTAGCTGCAACTGATCATTGCAGGAAGCTAAAGGGGATAAAATGTTGGAGGAGCTGGGAAGGATGTGAGATGTGTAGTAAAACTGGTTCTTGTTGAAATCCAAAGTGTTCCAAACTGAAAGATTCAGAGATATTAAGGAGTCCATGTAAAATAAAAACCTTTCTGTTCAACTCTCACTTTGAATGTTACCAAGTACTTTATGATAGTGCAGACCACGCCAAAATATATTCATATAGACTTAGGAACAAGATTAAACTATAACTTTTGGCCACCTTCTCTCCTTATTTTCCTCTTATTTTAGTGCGTTGAACTTTAATTAAAACAACCTTGTGAGGGAGGAGCCAAGATGGCGGAACAGCATGGAAGTTTTTTTGTGTGTCTCTCCTCCCTGAAATACAGCCAGACCAACACTAAACCATCCTGCACACCTGGAAAACTGACCTGAGGATTAACACAACAATCTGCACAACGTGAACCACAGAATTCAGCAGGTATGCGGTGCGGATTGGTGAACTAGGGGAGAGTGAAGCCACGAAGGGCAGGTAGCCTGCTTTTGTGTGCAGAGAGAGGACAGAGATGGGGGGGGGAGAATATGGGAAAAGCACACCCCCCAAAAGCAGCTGGAGAGAAAGTGGAAAAGTGGAAATAGCCGCAGGGACTGAACTAAAAAGGGAGAAAGGAGAGAATTTAAAATCCATTAACATTATAAACAAGGGGAGCACAGAGTCTGAAACTCTGCAGCTCAATACCTGGCGGTGCTCTGGTGAGAAAGGTGAATCCCCAGGAGCAGAGTGGGGTCCGGGGTTCTTCAGGCCACACGGGGAGAGGCGGTTTCCCTGCTTCCCAGCAGGGGACACCTGGTGGAGGCTGTGTGGGCGCCCCAAAGGCAAGGCCCCAGTGGACCCTGGAGAACAACCACATTCGCTGGCGCTGGAACAAGGTCGTTGGGGTTGAAGCCTGGTGCCAGATGTGTGTTGTGATTTTCCACAATCCCTGAAACGCTGCTGCTACACTATCTCGTGAACTTTTTCTGGGGCGGGATGGCACCTGGTGGCAAGTCTCTGGTCGTCGGCAGCAGCACGGTCCCGCAAACGTTCCTGGGTGTGGCAGGCACCCGTCCATTGCTCGGTAAGACCCTCCTGCAGAGGGGTGGAACCGGTCAAAGCCGCAATCCCTCAGAAGTAAGGGGTCGGGAAAAACAGCCGCATCTGAGTCTGAGACAAAACTCTGCAGGGAGGTGCTGCCTGGGGCTTGGTTACAGACTTTCTAAAAGCGGGGAGTGTACGAAAGCCGAAAACAAAAGACAGGTGCCCGACTGCTGATCAGGGTTCAGGACAGAGTTCAATACTAGAGGCTGGGTAACTGGTTGACGCCATTTCCACCTCTCCCACGCATGCGCATACGCACCTACAAGCGCCACAACAACCCCCCCCATAAGCTAAGTAGCGCCATCTAGTGGAGAACAGAGCCATTACACTAAACCCTGCCCAACTGGACCAACCTCGCTCTTCAGAACGCAAGTCTCTCCACCTGCTTAGTTTATGGACTATAAACTGCTTCATAGTTTGACTTCTAGGGGAAAACAAAGTAATTTAAGTCGTATTTCAGTCTGTTAGCCAGTCCATCTATTCAATTTTCTTTCTTTTTTTTTCTTTTCTTTTATTTCCTTTTTTCTTTTTTTTCTTTTTTGTTTGTTTTCTTTTTCTTGAATACAGAAAAAAATTCATTTTTATTTTCAACTTTTATTAAAATATTTTTCTTTAATTTTTTTCTACTATAGGTTTTACTTCTGTGTAAATTTTTTCAAATTCTATTTTACTTCCATCATTTCATTTTAGTCTACTTCAGTGTATTCATTTTTTTCAAATTTTCAAATGATTTCCTTTTTTTTCTTTCCCCTTTTTTCTCTAATCTATCAAGCCCCTTTCAACACCCAGACCAAACCACACCTAGGATCTAGTATCATTTATTTGATTTTGTGTGTGTGTGTTTGTTTTTAATTTTTAATTTTAATATTTTTTCATTTTAATTTTAATTTTTTAACCTCATTAATTCCTTTTCTCCCTTCAAGATTAAATGAAGGAATTCACCCCAAAAGAAAGAGCAGGAAGAAGCGACAGCCAGGGACTTAACCAACACAGATACGAGCAAGATGTCTGAACCAGAATTTAGAATCACGATAATAAGAATACTAGCTGGAGTCAAAAATAGATTAGAATCCCTTTCTTCGGAGATAAGAGAAGTAAAAGCTAGTCAGGATGAAATTAAAAATGCTATAACTGAGCTGCAATGTCGAATGGAGGCCACAGAGGCAAGGATGGATGAGGCAAAACAGAGAATCAGTGATATAGAGGACAAACTTATGGAGAATAATGAAACAGAAAAAAAGAGGTAGATTAAGGAAAAAGAGCACGATGTAAGAATTAGAGAAATCAGTGAGTCATTAAAAAGGAACAACATCAGAGTCATAGGGGTCCCAGAAGAGAAAGAGAGAGAAATAGGGGTAGAAGGGTTATGTAAGCAAATCATAGGAGAAAACTTTCCTAACCTGGGGAAAGACACAAACATCAAAATTCAGAAAGCACAGGGGACTCCCATTAGATTCAACAAAAACTGACCATCAACAAGGCATATCATAGTCAAATTCACAAAATACTTAGGCACGGAGAGAATCATGAAAGCATCAAGGGAAAAAAAGTCCTTAACCTACAAGGGAAGACAGATCAGGTTTGCAGCAGATCTATCCACAGAAACTTGGCAGGCCAGAAAGGAGTGGCAGGATATATACAATGTGCTGAATCAGAAAAATATGCAGCCAAGAAATCTCTATCCAGCAAGGCTGTCATTCAAAATAGAAGGAGAGATAAAAAGTTTCCCAGACAAACAAAAATTAAAGGAGTTTGTGACCACTAAACCAGCGCTACAAGAAATGTTAAGGGGGACTCTCTGAGGGGAGAAAAGATGAAAAAAAAAAAACACAAATAAATAAAGACCAAGAGCAACAAAGACTAGAAAGGACCAGCGAACACCACCAGAAACTCCAACTCTACAAGCAACATAATGGCAATAAATTCATATATTTCAGTACTCACTCTAAACGTCAATGGACTAAATGCTCCAATCAAAAAACATAGGGTAACAGATTGGATAAGAAAACAAAATCCATATATATGCCGTTTACAAGAGACCCACTTTAGACCTAAAGATACCTTCAGATTGAAAGTAAGGGGATGGAGAACCATCTATCATGCTAAGGCTCAACATAAGGAAGACAGAGTAGCCATACTTATATCAGACAATCTAGACTTTAAAATAAAGACTGTATCAAGAGATACAGATGGGCATTATATCATAATCAAGGGGTCTGTAGACCAAGAAGACCTAACAATTGTAAACATTTATGCGCCAAATGTGAAAGCACCCAAATATATAAATCAATTAATCATAAACATAAAGAAACTCATTGATAGTAATACCATAATAGTAGGGGACTTCAACACCCTACTCACAACAATGGACAGGTCATCTAATCAAAAAATCAACAAGGAAACAATGGCTTTGAATTACACACTGGACCAGATAGACTTAAAGATATATTCAGAACATTTCATTCTAGAGCTGCAGGATATACATTCTTTTCCAGTGCACATGGAACGTTCTCCAGAATAGACCACATACTGGGATACAAATCAGCCCTCAACAAGTACAAAAAGATGGAGATCACATCGTGCATATTTTCAGACCACAACGCTATGAAACTCGAAATCAACCACAGGAAAAAAATTTGGAAAGGTAACAAATACTTGGAGACTAAAGAACATCCTATTAAAGAATGAATGGGCTAACCAAGAAGTTAAAGAGGAAATTAAAAAGTTCATGGAAGCCAATGAAAATGATAACACCACAACCCAAAACCTCTGGGACGCAGGAAAGGCGGTCATAAGAGGAAAGTATATAGCAATCTAGGTCTTCCTAAAGAAGGAAGAAAGATCTCAGATACACAACCTAACCTTACGCCTTAAAGAGCTGGAAAAAGAACAGCAGATAAAACCCCAAAACAGTAGAAGACAGGAAGTAATAAAAATTAGAGCAGAAATTAATGCTATCGAAACCAAAAAAAACCCAAAAAACAAAAAACGTTAGAACAGATCAATGAAACCGGAAGCTGGTTCTTTGAAAGAATTAACAAAATTGATAAACCACTAACCAATTTGATCAAAAAGAAAAAGGAAAGGACCCAAATAAATAAAATCAAGAATGAAAGAGAAGAGATCACAACCAACAAAGCAAAAATAAAAACAATAATAAGAGAATATTATGAGCAATTATGTGCCAATAAAATGGGCAATCAGGAAGATATGGACAAATTCCTAGAAACATATACACTATCAAAACTAAAACAGGAAGAAATAGAAAATTTGAACAGACTCATAACCAGTAAATAAATCGAATTAGTAATCAAAGACCTCCCAAAAAACAAAGGTCCAGGGCCAGATGGCTTTCCAGGGGAATTCTACCAGACATTTAAGGAAGAGTTAACACCTATTCTCTTGAAGCTGTTCCAAAAAAATAGAAATGGAAGGAAAACTTCCAAACTCTTTCTATGAAACCAGCATTACCTTGATTCCAAAACCAGACAGAGACCCCACTAAAAAAGAGAACTATAGACCAATTTCTCTGATGAACATTGATGCAAAAATCCTCAACAAGATATTAGCCAACCAGATCCAACAATACATTAAGAAAGTTATTCACCGGGGCGCCTGGGTGGCTTGGTTGGTTAAGCATCGGACTTCGGCTCAGGTCATGATCTCACGGTCCGTGAGTTCAAGCCCCACGTCGGGCTCTGTGCTGACAGCTCGGAGCCTGGAGCCTGTTTCAGATTCTGTGTCTCCCTCTCTCTCTGCCCCTCCCCTGTTCATGCTCTGTCTCTCTCTGTCTCAAAAATAAATAAACGTTAAAAAAAAAAAAAGAAAGTTATTCAACATGACCAAGAGGGATTTATACCTGGGATGCAGGGCTGGTTCATTATCTGCAAAACAATCAATGTGATTCATCACATCAATAAAAGAAAGGACAAGAACCATATGATCCTCTCAATAGATGCAGAGAAAGCATTTGAAAAAATACATCATCCTTTCTTGATAAAAACCCTCAAGAAAGTAGGGATAGAAGGATCATACCTCAAGATCATAAAAGCCATATATGAAAGACCCACCACTAATATCATCCTCAATGGGGAAAAACCGAGAACTTTTCCCCTAAGGTCAGGAACAAGACAGGGAGTCCGCTCTTGCCACTGTTACTCAACATAGTATTGGAAGTCTTAGCTTCTGCAATAAGACAACATAAAGAAATAAAAGGCATCCAAATCAGCCAGGAGGAGGTCAAACTTCACTCTTTGCAGATGACATGATATTCCACATGGAAAAACCAAGAGATTCCACCAAAAAAACTGCTAGAACTGATTCATGAATTCAGCAAAGTCACAGTATATAAAATCAATGCATAGAAATCAGTTGCATTCCTATACACCAATAATGAAGCAACAGAAAGAGAAATCAAGGAATCAATCCCACTTACAATTGTACCAAAAACCATAAAATACCTAGGAATAAATCTAACCAAACAGGTGAAAAATCTATACACTGGAAACTATAGGAAGCTTATGAAAGAAATTGAAGAAGACACAAAGAAATGGAAAAAGATTCCATGCTCCTGGATAGGAAGAACAAATATTGTTAAAATGTCAATACTACCCAAAGCAATCTACATATTCAACACAATTCCTATCAAAATAACACCAGCATTCTTCACAGAGCTAGAACAAACAATCCTAAAATTTGTATGGAACCAGAAAAGACCCCGAATAGCCAAAGCAATCTTGAAAAAGAAAACCAAAGCAGGAGACATCACAATCCCGGACTTCATGCTATACTACAAAGCTGTAATCATCAAGACAGCATGGTACTGGCACAAAAACAGACACTCAGATCAATGGAACAGAATAGAGAACCCAGAAATGGTCCTACAAACGTATGGCCAACTAATCTTTGACAAAACAGGAAAGAATATCCAATGGAATAAAGACAGTCTCTTCAGCAAGTGGTGCTGGGAAAACTGGACAGCAACATGCAGAAGAATGAACCTGAATCACTTTCTTACACCATACACAAAAATAAACTCAAAATGGGTGAAAGACCTCAATGTAAGACAGGAAGCCATCAAAATTTTCGAGGAGAAAGCAGGCAAAAACTTCTTTGATCTTGGCCACAGCAACTTCTTACTCAACACCTCTCTGGAGGCAAGGGAAACAAAAGCAAAAATGAACTACTGGGACCTCATCAAAATAAAAAAGCTTCTGCACAACGAAGGAAACAATCAGCAAAACTAAAAGGCAACTGACAGAATGGGAGAAGATATTTGCAAATGACATGTCAGATAAAGGGTTAGTATCCAAAATCTATAAAGAACTTATCAAACTCAACACCCAAAAAACAAATAATCCAGTGAAGAAATGGGCAAAAGACATGAATAGACACTTCTCCAAAGAAGACATCCAGATGGCCAACCGACACATGAAAAAATGCTCAACATCACTCATCATCAGGGAAATTCAAATCAAAACCACAATTGAGATATCAACTTACACCTGTCAGAATGGCTAACATTAACAACTCAGGCAACAACAGATGTTGGTGAAGATGTGGAGAAAGAGGATCTCTTTTTCAGTGCTGGTGGGAATGGAAGCTGGTGTAGCCATTCTGGAAAACAGTATGGAGGTTCCTCAAAAAAATAAAAAATAGAACTACCCTATGACCCAGCAATTGCACTACTACGTATTTATCCAAGGGATACAGGTATGCTGTTTCGAAGGGACACATGCACCCCAATGTTTATAGCAGCACTATCAACAATAGCCAAAGTATGGAAAGAGCCCAAATGTCCATCGATGGATGAATGGATACACAAGATGTGGAATATATATAAAATGGAGTATTACTCGGCAATCAAAAATAATGAAATCTTGCCATTTGCAACTATGTGGATGGAACTAGAGGGCATTATGCTAAGCGAAATTAGTCAGAGAAAGACAAATATCATATAACTTCACTCATATGAGGACTTTAAGACACAGAACAGATGAACTAAGGGAAGGGAAACAAAAGTAATATAAAAACAGGGAGGGGAACAAAACAGAAGAGACTCATAAATATGGAGAACAAACTGAGGGTTATTGGAGGGGTTGTGGGAGGGGGGGGTGGGCTAAATGGGTAAGAGACATTAAGGAATCTACTCCTGAAATCACTGTTGCACTATATGCCAACTAATTTAGATGTAAATTAAAAAATTAAAATAAAAAAAAGTAGTAAAGGAAAAAAAAAACAACCTTGTGAAACATTTTGAATGCAAGTTTAAAATCTAAAATGTGAAGCAGGTGGATAAAATAGAGACCATGGGAGCCATAGAACAGCAAAGAAAACAAGTAAAATATTAATTCAGGAAAAGCATTTGCAGTGTAATCATTTGAGTAATGGGAAAAAAGATCTGCATGCAAGGACAGAGAGAAAAAGAATCAGGGGGAGTTTGGAATAGTACTTAAGAAAAGAGATAAGTTAAAATTTTTTTTCACTTTAAAATGAGTAAATGTCCTTTGAAAAGCATGGACCAAGGTTCAGAGGAAGGACTGGTGCACAGAACCCTTTGGAATACTAGTATTAACCAGCTATTATGTTGATAGCATTAATCAACTAAATGTATTAAGGCCCTCCAGACTGTGCTCAGCCCCACTTTTTGAGACAAGCTCTTCTCTTTATAATGCAAGTTTCAGGCTGCACCTTGGGGTCACTGGGAATCGCCAGCACTTTAAATTATTTCTCTTCCTAAGCTTTCGTTTGAAATAATATTGTTTGGAATGCTTAAGGCTTACCCTTCATGATTACAAGTACTACAACACAATCCGAATTATTACTAAGCATGCAATGCAAAGATTAGCAAAACAACAAGATTTAGTGTCCTTGGCTCAAGCTACACAAATATTGATAAAGCCTGTGAGGTAAACTAATTGATTCTATAAGCTTCATTGGCATTTCTTTGACAAAGTAAAGAAAGAACATTTGTATTTCAGTTTAAAGCCAGGACTAGGCCACTATTTTCAAGCCTGCGTGTCTTACAGGTCTTTTCACTTGTGTTTTCTAAGATCTTTTCATGATGGTATACTAATTTTGTGTCTCTTAACATAAATTCATTTAAAAAATCATAACATTAAATCTTGAAATATAATCCTAAACATAAGAATTTATATTACAAAAACCTTCAACAAAGTAGATGCCTCGTCAAAATTCAAAGGGGAAAACAAAAGTAAACCCCCCTTCCCCCAAAGAAGTGCATGTGGTCAAAAATCCAAAAGGTAAGATTCGCCCTGGGGAAACAGAAGCTGAGTTACATGTGTGAGAAGGAAGCACTTAGAATCATGGCAGATTTAGAGAACACTGTCCAAAATGGTAGCCATCAGCCACATTTGAGCACTTGAAATGTGCTAAATGAAACTGAAGTGCTGAATTTTCATTTCATTTCACTTCATTTCATTTCATTTCATTTCATTTCATTTCATTTGTTAAAATTAAATAGAAAAACTGATAATTTAGTTATTGGACAACTTTTAAGTATGTCCAAAACAACCTGGCATTTAACTCTACTCCCTCCATAGTACATTTTATGAAATCTAAATCCAGATGAAGTACTGTATTTTGATGAATATATAGTATCAGAATTGAGGTGTGCTGAAAGTATCAAACACACATCAACTTCCAAGATTTAGTAAGGAAAAAATAACTTAAATACCCCATTAATAATTTTTAATACTGATTACATGATGAAATGATAATTTTTGATATATTAAGTTAAATATTATTAAAATTTACCTCATATATGCCTTTTTACTTTTCTTAATGTGACTACTAGAAAAGTTAAAAAGTTACATGTGCAGCTCATGTTTCATTTTGACTGGATAGTGATGATTTAGAGAGCAGCATGATCCCAGGCCTGGTGTACAAATAATGTGTACAAATAATCAAATAAGAATTTTCTCTATAAAGGCAATCTCATAGCCAAAGGAAACTCATATACCACTTTTTGAAGTTGCAGGCAGCAGTAGCCCACATTAAGAAAGAAAGATAATACTGGATCCACACTCAAGAGGAACCATTCAAGCTTTGGGGACCTCACAGTGAGAAAGGTGCACAGTGTGTTGAGTTCAGGGCAAGTCAAACATAATTACAGAATGGCCAGAGGGGTTGTCTTATGTGGGTGGGATCTGGGGGGATCAGAGAATGAAATCCAAGGAAGGACTAAAGATGTATAATTGTCTACAAAGGACAGGGAAATTAATTGGCATGACAAAGGAGGTTGTAACTAGAAGTAATGGGATAGAGGTAAGAAAGGACAATTTAGGCTCAAGACATTTTAAGGTGAGGAAAAACTAGAGAGGGCTCACAGCGTGGGAGGCTCTCTCAGGCTTGACAGAGGAATGGAGGACTTGACCTAGAGGTCTCTCCAGCTCTGGTTCCTAAAATCCTTTCTTGGTGGTATATTAATGTGTTGACAGAGGTGAGCTGGGCAGGCAAAGGAGGAGCTAGGAGAACGAACTGGACGGTGATTTCACTAGGTGGCAACACTGAAATGACAATTGTCTGCCTGCTCTCCTGGTTTCCTGAAGCATCATTTTGGTAACATTACTGTGTGTATGCTCTTGGGAACTTCTGTAGTGACCCATTTGTGTCTGCACAGAAATTTCAGCATCAAGAGTGAATCCACTAAATGATTGGTGGGGTTGGGTATCTGCAAACGAGGTATACCTATTTGTTACTGACTGTTCCTTTCCGACCGAGCTTGTGAAACAGAGATAGAAAGGGGTGAATCCAGGTCTGAAGACTGAAAAACAAATTGACACTCACACACATGCACCAAACCTATTTCTTCCTCAACAGCCTTCCAAGTTCAGTGTAGACTCTTCACCATTACTGAGATGGGAGACATTGTCTATAGGTCAAGACAGGTCACTAACTTAATTATGTGATAAATACTAGTTGTCATCAATCTGCAAACATCACTCTGACAACATTTTCATAATGTCACCTATGCTCCAATAAAAGTTTACAAAAAAACAATGTGTTTCCAAAATCAATAGAAAGGAGGGGTGCCCGGCAGTCTTGGTCATGGGACAGTGCAACTCTTGATCTTGGGGTCATGGGTTCAAGCCCTATGTTGGGTGTAGAGATTACTTAAATAAATAAATAAATAAATAAGCAAAATCAGTAAAAAGGAAATAAATATTTCATTTCTATTCATTCAACTGCACTGTATTAGACAGGAACTTTTCATTATTATCAAAAGTATATGTGTGGTGGGAGGGAATATCACATCCCTTTTTCCTCACTTTATACCATTTCCTTACTATTAAAGGAGAAAATCAAGAATAGAAAATAATGATACTCCAAACTCCTGCACATCCATCTCTGGCAGTTTCCCTTCCTTCTGTGATTTTCTTCAACATGAAATGTAGATAGGCTAGTTCTCACTTTCAAAATTTAGCACAGATGTGGGACTTTTTAAATAATACTCTAACTAAGAGCATGGATTCCAGAATCAGAGTGTCAGGCTTCATGTTCTGCCTCTCCCACTTAAGATGTTTATGACTTGGGCAAGTTACTTTCTTCTCTGAGCCTCAGTTTCCTCATCATTGTCTCTCTCTCATAGGGTTGCTTAGAGAAGTAGATGAGGGAAAATGCATAAAATTCTTAGCATAATACCTGACACATATTCTTTGTCGTTACCATTTCTGTTGCTGTTTTTGTAGTTATTATTAATACCAGAGTGACCATTGATAATAGCACTAGATAGCTATTGGGGCAATATAAGCAGTTAAAACAATTGAAGGCAGTGCCCCTAATCCAAAAATCTGTTTGCTCCTTAGGCCACAATCAGAGCCTTGATTGAAGACATTGTGTTCTGTCTGAAGAGTATTTAAGGTTTCCAATAAAATGTATACCTGTCAAAAAAAAAAAAAAAAAAAAAAAAACAATTGAAGGCAGAAACGTAAAGAAACCTAGTTCTCCACAGAAGAGTAGCAGGTTGTCTCGCCTGCCAAACACCTAATGGAGAGGAGACTCCACTCTGTTCAGCAAAATGACTCTTGAACCTCAAGATCAGATGGCTTGGACGAGTGCATTTGAAAAAGCCATTGCATAACTCTGTGAAGGCTAAACTGGGATAAATTATTAGCATGGCCCTGGAACTGTGCTCCATTGTGCAATCAGGAGATTCTGTATGGTTTTACTTTTCATACGAAAAAAAAAATATCAAAAACTAGAACCAGAAAACATTTGGAATTTTATTTTAGTCCATGGCCAGATCTTACAACATCGGTGATTTAAACCAGGCATCGAATATGAACTCAACCAGGCCTCTAATATTTCTGCATTACTTGGTTACGGCGAACAGTGTAGACACTGGCGGTTGATGAAACTCTGCAGCATGCGAAGGCTGCGAGCTGTGCTAGTCAACTGGAATCTCAGTCTCAGTTACCCTCCTGGCGTGCTGTGATAACTTAGTACCACGATGCTGAAGTCCTCTGCATCAGAAGTAAAAAGTAAAAATACTACATTTAATAAGCACAGAGACTGCAGTCAAAGCCACATTTACTGCCAAAGAAGCCAACGGACAATGAGGTGAAGCAAAGAGAGAGAAATCTATATTCACCCTGGTTTAAATTTCCAAGAATGTGATAGCAGAAGAAAGAACGATGCATGTAACACCAATATACCATGAACTGTGGCTTTTCCAAAAGGCTTCAAGAAGTACACACAGGATTTCATATAAGTCGATTATGAACCGCTTTTCTAAATGGCTGCAATTCTGCCAGTGCTGCTTTTCCCCAAATGAGGAAGCTGTTTATTTGCATCTTCTGTGCTGTCTTTTTGAAAGAGCCATTAAGGGAAGCAGCATAGCCGCAAACAAGTACCCAAAAAGAATGGGATCAAGGCAGTGGTATAAAGCTTTGTCCCAGCAATCTGAATGCAGGTGTGAGAGACACAAACCAGGTGGCTAAAAGGCTTCTTTGTTTGAAGCTGTCAGTAGGAGGACCTGATTAATCTCATGCCCCATCCCTAAACTCCCTTTTAACTATGTCAAGACATCGCCTCACATCAGGAAGTCTACAATGACATGGCTATGTGCTAAGCTCAGTTAATGTGGCCCTAGGTTTAAACACTTCAGGTTGAAAGTGGATAATTGGTGGTAGTGGATTTTAAAAGCTCACACAGGTGCCTTTGAAAAGAGGTCAAAAGTCAAGTGCATCTCTCCTGAGAGTACTGGCGAGCCCTTCCTAAGGAGATCAAAATTCCTTTACACAAACCCCCAGGGTCTTGTAAGAACTGTTATTAATTTAGTTCTGTATGTTCCAAATAATGGAAAAACGATACCACATGTGTATATTACCAGTAACCTGGGCATATTTGTTCCAGAGAGGTAGATGTTAGATAGATTTTCACCTGGCACTTCTGGATTGCTAATGAAGTAATCCACTTTCTACCAGGGCAAAACTGGGAGTTCAGGTCAGGGTAATGAACCTTGAAAATGGTGAAAAGCCTGTGGGAGAAAAGGGCATAAACATAGGAATGTGTTGTCATATACCAAATGTATTTGTAAAACCAAAGCTATGGAGCTTTAACAATAGCTCGTAAAAAACAAACACTGCTGTGTATATTCTGACTTCAAAAACAAGCATGTTATTAAGTATTTTTTTCTCTTTTGATTTAATATAAGTTACAAAGTTACATCATAACATATCTAATGGGTTTTGAAAAGTACCCCGAAACCCTAACCATTAATTGGCACATTTCAAATACCAGTCGGGAAGAATCTCTTGTTCAATTTGGAGGTCTTCAGCTGTTCATCTTCATTTTTTCTTTCCTCCACTTGTTAGATATTTTTAGTCAATGCATCTACTATTCTATTATACCTTAAGATGTGTTACTTACTAAAATACTATATTTGAAGCTAAATTTACAACAGGGATACATAGTTAGGAAATCTGACATTTTGGCACATATCCAGTAAAAAATATTTAATTTTGTACCCCTTGTGTCTGCATATAGAAGGCCACAATAGTACATCAATACCAGTTTTGAAGCCTTTGTACATACCCATTAAAATGGTTATTTAAAAAAATACAAGTGTTGGTGAGGATAAGGAGAAATTGGAGCCCTGTGAGCTAGTGGTCAGGATGTAAAAAATACTGCAGCTGCTATTGATCCTTGAAAACTTAAAAATGGAATTAGCATACAACTCAACAATTCCACTTTTGAGAACAGAACCAAAAAAATTGAAAGCAGGGAACTGAGAAAATATTTGTACACCCATGTCTGGAGCAGCACTATTTGAAATAGCCTAAAGGTAAAGCAAGCCACATGTCCCTCAACAGACAAATGGATAAATAAATATATATATATATATATATATATATACACATACATATATATATACACATACACACACACATAGATGTATATATATATATAGATACACATATATATATACACATATAGATGTATATATATATATATAATACATTATATTATGTATAGAAAGGAATAGTATTCAGCCCTAAAAAGGAAGGAAATTCTGACACATTACAACATGCATGCACCTTGAAGACGTTATGCTAAGTGAAATCAGCGAGACACAGAAGGATAAATAATGGTAAGGTTCCACTTACATCAAGTACTCAGAGTAGTCAAATTCACAAAGGCAGAAAATAGAATGGTGGTTTCCAAGGGCTAGGAGAAGGGGAGATGGGGAGCCACTGTTTAATGGGTTCAGTTTCAGTTTGGGAAGATGAAAAAGTTTTGGCGATGGACACACAACAATGTGAATGTACTTAATGCCACTGAACTGCATACTTAAAAATGGTCAAAATGGTAAAATTTATATAACATAAATTTTAAGTAGAAAATTTAATTTAAAAACCCTTCATATGTGCATTAGTGTCCTGGAATTGGGGTCTGGATTGGGTGCACTTGCTTGATTGACTGCACTTAACAGGTCTGATGCACTGTTACTAATCAAAAGAAAATGTGTTTCTTTCAAGATCTTAAAGAATCCAACTGGCTTGAGCAAACAGAAAAAAACAAGGGTGTAGCTGACATTTTGAAATTGGTACACAAATTCTTGGACCCACTCACTCTATACTTATAATTAGGAAAGAATGCTTGTCCCTAAAATTTTTAATGAAAATCACAGGTTTGTCTTAGTAGTTTTGCCACAAAGTCATGGTTTCACTCAAAAAAATGGAGAAAGAGGGGAAAAACCCCTTCAGAAATAACACTTTAATTCAAATTTAATGTTAAACACACACATGTTCATGGTATGTAGCAAAGCTAAGTTAATGGCATAAAAGTAATATGACATTTGATTAACTGGTATTAAACTGAACGTGTTAATTGCAGAGAAGAAAGACTTGCCAAGGCATGTTAGAAGCTGAGCTTCCAATTTGAACTCAGAATACAAAGGAAATGGCTCTAAGATCTGAGTAGCTGCTCTAACATTTACACAAGTCCAAGAAATTCCAAGCTCAAATCCCATGAACATACGTCTATTTATTCTACTTAAAGTGTTAACAGAGGACAGTTCAATTAACAGCATGTAACATTTTTTTGAGAAGACCTCAAAATCCTTTAACTTGCCAATAATAGTTTAAAGACTCCACCGTGTTTTAAAGGCTGGGAAAGGATTCAGTCTCCACAGAAAAGGAGATTGCCCTTGGAGAGCTTGCTAAAGACTTTGGTTAACCAAGAAACTATAAACCCCTGTGTTCTCATTATTACTCAAATATCTTTCACTGTTGATAGATCACAGCAGTTCATTCAATTGCTTATAATTAGTAGTATCCTCTGGTAGAACTTCACCAAAAGGGGAGAGTTACAGAGTTTGAGCCTTCCAATCTCCACTTTCCCAGAAAATTTTCACCTACCTGTAAGAGAATAATAGCAATGACAACAATAATAATAACCAAAGTAAAATAATGACAAGAACAATAACCAAAGAGAGAGGATGATCACAGACAGATTGGGTAGTCATGCTTGATTTCTGGCTCTCAATGAGTCTCATGATTAAAAACTTTCTTAAAGAAACAAGACATACATGCACACACACGTACACACACAAACACATATACCACAGATTTAGTAAAATTAAGGACCACAGAGGGTGGAGTTTTTAGTAGAATTCATGTTGTAGGACTACTATTAATTATCCTTAGTAAGCATTATTGATTAATTTGCTAGCTGAGCCACTGACAAATACCTTCCCCTGGTTTTGGTATTGGCTCTGTAAAAAAATCTGCTAGGTTAGTGGCGCCTGGGTGGCTCAGTTGGTAAAACATCCAGCTCTTGATTTCGGCTCAGGTCATGATCTGATGTTCCAGGGATCGAGCCCCACGTGGAGCCCTATGTGGAGGCCTATATCCAGCTCTGTGCTGGGTGTGGACCCTGCTTAAGATTCTCTCTCTCTTCCCCTCCCCCCTCTCTAAAATAAATAAAATGAAATAGAATAAAAAATCTGCTAGGTTACAAATTTTATAAAGTCAGAGACCATGTCTGCCACGTTCACAACTAAATGTTCATCTCCTAGCACAGTGCTGGTCCGTGTTGGGCGCTCAAAACAAATATGTATAGGATGGATGGATGGACGGATGAATGAATGAATAGAAAAATAAAAGCAGGTGATGTTATTGACAACCATTGGAAGCAAGGAGAACTTAAAGAACTTAAATTATACCGTGTGCCCAACACCATTCTATGGCGTGGTTTATATGGAATAAGCATTTTATCCTCAAAACAGTCTTAAGAAGTGGTCCTATCATGATCTCCATTTTATAGTTGAAGAAGCTGACATGCAGAAAGTACACAGCTTAAGTGGTTCAGTTGAGAAGCAGGTCATCTGGTTTCGGAGTCTACACTCTTACTTTTACCCATTACACAAAATTTTAAACCAAGA